ACCCACAGCGGGGGCCGGGACCGTGAGGGACCCAAAAGTAGCAGCAGTGAGGGCCGCAGGAAGGGCTCCCTCTCCTCCCCCAGCGGCAGCAGGAAAGAGCGGGAGAGCAAAGCGCACCGCAGCCGGACGAAAGCAGCAAAGGAGCCGCCCTCGGCCTACAAGGAGCCGCCAAAGGCCTACCGCGATGAGAAGCCGGAGCCCAAGGCGTACAGGCGGCAGCGCTCCTCGCCCAGCCCCGGCCGGGATGACAGCCCCCCGCTGCACCGCTCCTCACAGAGCCAGCGGAGCCGCAAGTCGCTGAGCCCCGTGAGCGGCCGCTCGCCCCTCAGCCCCTACAGCCGCCGCCGCTCACCCAGCTATAGACGGCACACCAGCTATGAGCGCGGTGGGGACGTGTCGCCCAGCCCCTACAGCAGCTGGCGTCGCTCGCGGAGCCCCTACAGCCCCGTTATCCGGTGAGTGCAGTGGGGAGCATGGGGGAGGGTGGGGGGCGGAATCCTTGTCTGTGTTGCTGGTCCGGTTAGAGAAGAGACTGTCATCGAGCAGCTCCCCTGGAACCCTCCCTCTTGCTGCTAGAGGCTTTGGGTGGTGGTGGCGGGGAGGGAAGAAGTCAGGGACACATACAAAGGTCTTCCTGCCTTGTGTGGGGAGAAGGGGAGACGTGAGGCTCTTCTGCAGCTATTTCTCGCCCTCACAAACTCCGAAGCTTAAAAATGCTTTAATGCTTTTAAAAGCATTAAACAGCATGAGAATGTTTCCAGGAAAGCATGTTACCAGGAATGGAAAGCAACCTCAGGAGGCCAAGGCCTTTGAAGGAACAATGTTGTTGTTGAAGTTTTTGTTTATAAAGTGTGGAGATTGCCAGGTACATTTTTGCATACCTTGTGGAAGAAGATGTCCTTATACTTCTGTGCTTGGCTTAATCCCATCGAATATAAAGAGGAACCAAACTGAGAGGCAATTCACATTCTTAGTGTTTCTTGTTCTTTGGGGGTCTACAGAAATATCTTTTCTAACTACAGAAATGTCTTTTTAAACTTTCTGTTTTGCCCGGAAAAGGAGCTATTGTCAAGTTTTTTGTTAAATTTGCACATTTACGTACTTTACGCACCCTTAGAAAAGCATATTTAACCTCTTTTCCAGTAAAGGGTAGTATGATAGCCTGTATTGTACATGTTGTATTTGACATGTGTTTGCGAATAGCTTTGTTACTGTTAATGGGAACTCAGAATGTAAAGGTCAGCACTACTGTGACTTTTTTAGGGTTTATACAGAGTAAACAATGTGGACTGTGTCTCTATAATTGGACACAAGCAGTGGTGCAGAATTAAAACACTTAAAATATATTGAGGTGTTTTAATATTTTAAACTTTAATTTCCTGTTTTTTTTTTCTATATATGGTCATTTTGTGTTTATAATGGGAGATTTCTATTTGTTCTGTTGTAATCTGACTGTTGCCACATTGTTTACAGCCTTACTTGTAAACTTAAATTCACCTGTGAACTTAAATGTTAAATTTTTAAGGTGCTTTGTCACTCCATTGGCAAGAATAGATTTAAAAGTCATTACCTGGTTGGTTGTATGAGAACTGTTGTCTGGTGTTTCTAATTTTGCATCAGTTGCACTGCGTGACACCACAAATGGCATCCAGTGGGAGGGCTGGAGCTGTTTCTGTGTCTCGCTGACTGTCAGTCAAATCTACAGCGCTGGGTGTACGGCAAACACTCTTGAAAGAGAGAAGTAACAAAACTGCGTCCTACTTTGTTCAGAGGGAGAGAACAAAGGTGTCTTTGCAGAAAATGGTGATCGTTTTGAGGTACAGTTGTATGGAATAAGCTTGTAGACAATGGAGTGCTTCAAGCAGAAAATACCGCAAGTTGTCTGAAAAAAGGGCAATTTTGTTGTTGTTTTTTCATGAGAGCCTGATGCAAGCGGCCAAGGGTCCTTTTTTTTTCAAGATGATTTGAGTAGTAGAATAGTAAAAATGTTATGGGAATGTTTCAACAAAACAATTTCCAGCATGTTTTCTGTAGAACCTTTTGTCTTGGAATAGGCCTGCTTCCCAATGACAGGCAAAGTGATTATGTGAGGATTGCACTTAAGAATAGCTGTGTTAGTCAGGCTGATGGTCCAGTTAGTCTAGGATCCTGCACTAAACAGTGGGTAATAGGGCTGAACTAGAAGGTCCAGAGGATTTTTTTAGTGGATAACCTCAGAACAAAGTGCAGGAAGCGTTCTCTTTCCTGTCAGTAGTGGGGCTGTGATTTGAAGCCTTTTTTAAAATCCTTTCTAAACCTTTCTTGAGTTGCAAATCCATTTCCAGGAGTTAGTGTTGTGACCTCACTTCTTCCTTCCTCCAGTTAAACTTGAATTTGCATCTAGTCTCTTACTGGATACAGATAAATTATTCTGTTAACGAATGCAGATTGTCAGGTTACTGGAGAAGAATTGGAGTGACTGAGTGAAAGAAGAGGTTGCTGTAAGAATCAAGGTCAGTCTGTCCTAATGCATGCTTAATTCTGGAAATGAATCGGGGATTTTGATGTTTGTCCTGACCATCTTGCAAGTCTTTTTATGGACAAAGGAAGAAATCAGAAGTGTGAAGGCAAATGTTATTCTTAATGTATTCTTTTTTTTTTTTTAAACTCCGGAATGGCTATTACGCTTCCTCCCCCTCCCCCGCTTTTGGTGGTGTTTAGGGGGAAATAACTTTAAAATGGAAGATCATTGTGTGATTGTTTTAGTTATTCAAAGCTGTGTTGTAATTGCTTATTTGTTGCTTGACTCAGTGGTGGTGTACCACCAAATCTGCAGATTTTGGCTGTGCAGTTTCGGTGGCAGTATTACAGCCATAGAGCTGATAGAACGTAATCGTTTCACGAGGGCAACAGCTTCTTGCAGCACCTGTCTTCTTGAGCTGGGTGATTTAAAGACTTAATTCTGGGCTTGTATCCAGGTATAATGGCATCAAGACAGTAAGAACTGTGTATGCTTCTAGCTCTTCACTGGCTGCAAGGATGGCTGCTGTTCTCATTCTGTATTTCGTATATGAATCTGCAGGAATTAGAGATTAATTATCTAGTTATTTTGAGTTGTAGCTAATGAGAATGAAGTGGTTCTCACAAGCATGTATCTAGAATCCCTACCTTTTCCTCTAGGTCTCTGAACTGCTCAGTGAGAAGCTTCTAGTAAACAGTAGAAGAGAGACAAGTGAAGTCAGCTTCACTCCTTTGAATCTGTGTTTTGTTTTTCTCAAGTAGCAGTAACAGAGCAAAGCCAATGTGAGTTAGATAGTGCCTCTGTTTAGCGACCTAGGTTGCGACAGGGCCTCTGATTAGCGACCTCTGATAGTGTTATCTGGGCATAGCTTCTGAATTGAAGCAAAGGCACTAGATGTGTTGTTTTGTGCTTGGAAAGTTATCCTTGAATGGTAAACTACTTGCCTTCGCCTTTGTGCTAGCTGCGACCCTTTCTTTTTTTTTGTGAAAACCCGTTGTGTGCACTGTTCCCATGTGGTAGACAAAGCTTTTCCCTTGACTGATGGTGAAATTGTAATCCTGTGTTCTAAGAATCAGTTTAAATATTACTTTATGAATGAGAACTGACTGTACCGCCTGTAATGAACAGTATGCCTTGTATTTTCTTGTGGGTGGTAACACTGTTGTTCTGAAGTAGCAGATGTATATTTTCAAAATGGAAATTCTTCCATAATACCAAAAATACCACAAAGGCAGGCGGTATTTATTCCTCTGCCCATAAACTGACTGGATTTTTAAAAAGCTCATGACACTTAAAATATACATAGATACATATGCATACAGACATACACATCTAGAAAGATATAGATGTCTATCTCAGCATCACTGGCAAAACAAGCAGGCAGAATCTCACTTTGGCAACCAGCTTGAAATTAAATTGTAGGCAGGAAGAGTTGTTTCTCATAAACTCAGTCAAGTCATATGCTCTGTGATTGCACATTTAATTTGGTTAGCTGTATATACAAATAATCCCACTTTGCTAAAGTGGGATACACCTACCCACATGACTGCATAAAAGTAAGTAGCTAGAGTACCTTTAGCATAGTACTAGTGTATGCGTAGATGTTCCTAGGAAAAATAAGAGATTTAATTTCTTACTGATGCTACAGAGCCATCTTGTTCTGCAGCAGCAGTTGGCCCATAGCAGTGCAACTTTGGGAATTACATACCACTTGTGAAACTGAAGAAAACATTGGGAAAATGGTAAAATATGTGTTGAAGTAATAAATGCCAACTTTGTGGGAGAAGCCATGTCTTCATATGCTGATACAAAAATTGGGATGAGACTAGTAATTCTGCTTTTGGAGTTAAAGCAGTTGGAGAGATTTTTTGAGACCTTTTCTTTGATGAAAAGAGGTTTTCTTTATAAAGTTTTTTATTCTTGTTCAGTAAAACTGGATGTTGCGGATTTTTAAATGTGAAAATATACATGTTCATTGTTGAGAAATAAATCCAGTGTATATTCAAGCTCTCGTGGTAGCACATTTTACGAATTTATTGAGATTTGTTTTGCTAGTTGACAGTGAACTTTGCCTTTTGCCCAGTCACGGTGATGTACTTCCTCTTTTCCTTTCCTTATTGTAGGAATACACTTGCTTTAAAAATGAGAATGTAAATTCATTTAGGAAACAGAATTAGGGTTGACTTCCATTCTTGCTGGTTATCTTTTTGTAGGCAGAGTTCTCAGTGGAGAATACAGAGGTATAAAGCAGATTTAAGAGTCAAATGAAAGTTTAGAAATTTTCAGTACTATTACAGTATATGTATTAGAGAACCCTTTAAAGATTTGTGTTTTGAATCAGTGAGACTAGTTACACAGTCCTTGTGCAGAAAGCATGCTAGCCAAATAGGTGGTTTCTTGCACAGCTGCTTAGTTTAGAGCCCTGAACTAGGGCCTAGAGAAAATAAATAAGCAAGGTATCTAGTGAGAGAACACTTACTGTTGTGGATTAAAGGAGCGAATTGTATGTTTGTCTGCTAGTACATCACGGAAAAACTATACTATGGTTATGAACTAGAATGTCTTGTCAAGGTGGTTTCGGTTACTGAGTGATTATAAATGTCTTGGAGGATCTGTGGGAAAGCCAATTGATTAAATTTAGGTCTGCCTTTTCAAATATGCTATGACCTTATGATGTGCTGCAAGATGGCAGTGCATACAAAGTATTGCAGCGTTCGCTGGGAGCTAATGGCAGTGTTGGGTCGTAGCTTGAGTTTTAACTTCCTTTTATGCAGTTTCTTATTATTCCATTCTTATTCCGATGAATTCCTTTGTGTTCAGTTTTGTCTAAAAGTACGTACAAAGAGGTTCCACCACTGAGGTCTGTAAAGTCTGGTGTGTTTTGAGTGTAATGTAGTTTGCTCTGTAGCTTTGGCCACTAGCACTTTGGATTTAGCTCACTCTTAAAGCAGTTAA